CTCGGCATGTTAGCGTGGTGCAAGACGGTGAGGACGTGACGCTATCTGTCGAGGATGGTCAGATAAAGTGGCTAGCAGCTGAGCAGTGTTGGCAGGCAGCATGGAGGTGGAAGGACGACAAGCCACCTACTGGACGCATCGGCAGCGGCATTGGGGAGTACCCCCGGAAACTTAGCGATGATCAGGAGAAGCTGTTCCAGCATGAAGTGGACTCCTGGATCGATAACGGATGGCTCATCGAGCATGATGAAGAGGTACACGGAGCTCCTGCTGCAATTCTACCATGGCTTGCGGTCAGCCAGGAGCACAAGCCTACTACACCTGTTAGGCCTTGCCTCGACTACCGTGCGCTGAACCGTGCCCTCGTTTCTCAGCCCGGTATGGATGCCTCCGTGTGTGGCGAGAAGTTGTGTGAGTGGCGTACGCACGATGCCAACGAGTATGAGATGTTGGATATTCGAAAGGCCTATCTGCAAGTCCGTATGTCACCTGAGTTGCTACGGTATCAGTGCGTGAAATGGAGGGGAAAGCTGTACGTGATGACCCGCATGGCTTTCGGGCTAAGCGTTGCACCGAAGTTCATGGACGTGATAGTCAAGTGGTGCACGCGAGATCATGATGGTGTTGACAATTACGTTGACGATCTGTACGTCCCGAAACCGCAGACAAAGGCTGTTGCGGATACACTCGAGCGCTATGGCCTGCGCACGAAGCCAGCTGAGCCCGCCAGTTCCGCCCGAGTACTTGGACTTCAGCTGTTCACTGGCCAAGATGGTCAAACCCGTTGGAAGCGTCGAGACGGAGTGAGTCTCGAGTGTGGCAAGCTGACCAAGCGTGGTGTATTCTCGTGGTGCGGCCGACTGGTATCGCACTATCCCGTGTGCTCGTGGCTGCGACCTGCCTGCAGCTTTCTGAAGCGCCTAGCATGTCGTGATGGTGGTGGTTGGGATGATGACGTCCCCAATGATGTGGTAACCTGTTGTGCCGAACTAGCAAGTCGCGTCCAAGATGAGGATCCGGCCACAGGCGTGTGGAATGCGTCAGTAAACGAGCAGCAGCTCACCGTGTGGTGCGATGCGTCTGATGTCGCATATGGCATTGTTGCCGAAGTTGGTGGTGAAGTCATGGAGGACAAGTCTTGGCTTCGCGATGCCGACGAGAAGAAGCATATCAACATCGCAGAATTGGAAGCAGTAATCCGTGGGTTGTCGACGGCAGTCGAATGGAATGCCAGCAACATCCGTCTTGTCACTGATTCCAAGACCGTGTACGGCTGGGTGAAGTCGTGCCTGAACAATGAGCGGCGTGTCAAGGTGTCCGGTCTGAACGAAGTTTTGGTTCGCCGACGACTAAACATCATCGACGACATTGTCGCGACCGCGAAGCTGTCCGTCACCATTGAGTGGGTACCGTCCCAGCAGAACAAGGCTGACAAGCTGACGCGTGTCCCAGATTTGTTCATCCGCTGCTGGAAGAAATCAGCCAAGCCAGATGTAGTTGCTGCCGTCTCTGCACCCCCGAAGATTGTGAGTGCTATTGTTTTACAGGACATTCTTGATGCGCAGAAGTCTGATCCTGTTGTTGTTAGTGTGATTGAGTCTGTGCGTCATGGTCGTGAGATTTCCGACCCGGTATTTAAGAAATTGAAGTCTCAGTTGTCTGTATCTGATGATGGTTACTTGTATCGTAGTGTGAAGGTACCGCCGAATGATGTGCGTGTTGTACCAGTTGTGTCTCAGTCATTGCAGCAGCGAGTGGTGTGTCGTGCCCATGCTGTGAGCGGTCATTCCAGTTGGGAGACCACATGGAAGCTGTTGCGTGCGAGTTGTTATTTTGCAAATATGGCTGTTGTTTGTCAGTCGTTGATTCAGTTGTGTGATGTGTGTGCTGCTGCTAATTCGAAGCGTGGGCCTGTTGCTGAGCCAACACGTCCGGTTATTCCATCTGGTCCATGGAATGTAGTACAGCTCGATACCCTGGAGTTGGGTCCGAATAGAAGCCACCGGTATCATTGTGTTCTTGTCTGTACCGATATGTTTACTAAGTGGGTCGAGGTTGTCCCATTGGTTCGCCATGATGGTCCGTCTGTAGCAGCTGCGTTTGTGGATGTATGTTCCCGCTGGGGTGCCCCAGCAGTTGTACGTTGTGACAATGGAACAGAATTTGTCAATCAGGTAGTTTCCTCTTTGTATGATGCATTTGGTGTAGAGGTGCGACATGGTGCAGTGCGTCATCCGCAGAGTCAAGGTGGTGTAGAGCGTTTTAACCAGACTTTGCTGACTTTAATTCGCAAGATTGTGCAGGAATCCGACGATTGGGTGTCTGCTTTGAATGTATTATTGTACTATTATCGTATTCGTCCCCACTCTGCGCTTGGTGTTTCCCCAAGTGAAGCCATGTGTGGCTGGGTCCCTCATGGCTTGATTGTGGACGATGAGCGTTGTGACATGTCCCCCAGTGCATGGGTGGATAGCTTGTGTAGTAAAGCGGCTGTTGTGCGAGACTACGTAGAAAGTGAGTTGTCCTCTGCTGATTTTGTTCAGCCTGTTGGGTGCATGAACCCCTACAGTGTTGGTTCCACGGTGATGTTGCGGCAAGGAGATCGCCGCCAGAAGCGAACAGCGCCGTATGAGTCCGGGTGGACAGTTGATAGTGTTGTGTCTCCATCAACTGTTGTAATTGTTCGAGACACTAATGGTCGACATTCTGTGAAGACTGTCAATATTGATCTAATTAAGCCGTCAAGTGTGAGTGTGCCTGAGTATGATGATGCATGTGCTTCAAGTACTAGTGATTCTGATTCTGATGTGCCAGCCCAACCACTTCAAGTTGGTGGTCATCGTCTTCGCAACCGTGCTGGTCTCGTTCCTCCTATTCGTTACCGTAGTTAACTGTTGACGTGATGTCACCAGGGGGAGGTGTGACAATATGACAATGTGTGTAGTGTGACGATACAATGTGTGTGTAGACAAACATTACGATTATGTATTTGTTGTGGTGACATCTGTCATCAGTGTGTCATGCCTCTTACCTCATTGTAGCTTCATCCGTAGTCCGCTTCAATTGTCCTTGTTCTATATTCTATTCTATTTCTTCTAGTGCTAGTCGTTTCACTTCTCATCTTTCCTTGAAGTAGTATATTTGAATTGTAATAGACCCTTTGCACAATAACGGTCACGTGATCCGAGACGGGGCATCCTCTTCGATTTTTGTGCAGAGTACCAGTTGTTGAGCATGGTGGAACACTGTATTTTTCCATTTTGGAGATGGAGGAGAGAGTGTCGAGTGGTTTGCCATCGATGGCTGTGGAACCCGCGGACGAACTGTCAAATGAAGATCGGTTGTGTAAGGAACTGAACAGTTTTCTGCTGAATGAGGGTGCGTATCTGTCTGGAAAAAGAAGGAGTTGTTGGAGCGGTAAGTTTTCCGCATTCAGTGGATATTTCGGATTACTGTAGATTGAAATTTATTTTTATTTTCTCTACCTTCTCTCCTCTGTCGATGTAGAGAACACTTCTCTATGCAGAACCCTGATGCTCCTAGAACTAAGAAGGGCACCACTTCCTCGAGTGTACCTTCATCATGCCCAACATTTCATGCGTCCCAGTGGATGAGTGATGAACCTCTGTTTCCCAGAGTGAGTGCCACACCATGCTTGCTCGTCTCCAACGCAGGGGCAAGTCGCCGACGACAGTGAAGAGGGAGCTGATGGAGTAGTACTAGTGAACAAGCCCGTGGATAGTGTCCATGAGTTTTACTTTGGTGGCTATGTGCATAATGTGAAAGTCTGTCATATCGTGCGCACAGCCACAGCTCGAACTCGGATGACTTTCTCCGCACACCTGAGCGATGAGGCCGCGTCTCTCTCCTCTTCAACAACAGCAGCTCGAGCAGCGCCAGCAAGCAGTCGATCTTCCAATAGCGAAGACAGGGATGGGTCATGCCTTTTTCTCAAGCTCCAGAGTCTCTTGGCAGGGCGTTCCATATCTTCGCAAAAGCAAGGATGAAAGTCGTCATGGACAAAGTGTTCCGAGCACAACACTGTAAACGATATCGCAGCACTGCGGCCCTCGGTACCCGGCCCTCTTCTCGCCAGATAGCCAGGATTCCAGAGTGTGGAATGCCAGCATCACCAGGGAACGCATGGAAAGACAAGTGGGTTCCTTAGACTAACGTTAGGGATGACGGTTGCTGCAAACAAGAACCCAACAGTGGTCCTTGGAAAGCATTTCGGGACTTCTTCCTTCAGAACTAGAAAAACTTGAAAATGAAAAAGGCTGGAGAGTACATACATGAACATCGCGTCGGGACCGTGAAAACACAGCCTGTCACAGGAAACTTGATCACGTCCTGCAGCAAAACCATGCATGCTGGTTGCATGCCAAGTGTGCAGCGCGTGCACAGCATGCCCCGTCTCGACCCCTCTCGCTTATTGTGCAAAGGGTCTATTGTTTTCCTGCAACGATCGTTCGTTGTGTTATTTATTTGTGTCTTGACTTCATTATTTATTTCGCCAGCGCCTGCAAGGCTGCATGCTAGATTCTGTGTTCACGCGTGACTAATGATGTCATCGCTATGCCTTTGCTTGCTGCGCGTAGTCTTGTTGTTTTCTTTGCTTCGTTCGAGTTGCTGTTGCTCGACTTCGTTTTCTGATCTATTTTCTGCATTCAATGGTGGCCGTGATGGCTGTCGCTGCAATAGCAGGTTCAGCCACGACGGGCCTCTATCGGTTGCTCTGTCGCCATGTTGGACGCCATGTTTTAGACGTGTCTTTTCCTGGCCAAAGTGCTGGTGATTTTGTGTTCTTGTGGTTCTTTTCTAGTTCTCTCTCCTTTTCCTACTTGCATTTTTCGTGATTCATACATTTCCACCAAGAGGCTGCCGTTTGCGCTGGTGTGTTGTGTTGGGTGAAGAGGGGTGATAGAGAGACTAGATAGCTCCAGTTCTCCCACACACCTGTCGCATCAAATGCCAAGATAACGACTGCACACAGCGGTGCTCTAAGGATGACAGCCATGAAGTCTCAAGCTCCAGCCCTCTGCAACACTACTGCCGGAATAGCCACAAGTGCAAGGTAGCATGCAACGAGCATGGGCCATGCAAAGTTGTCCCAGAAATAGAGAAAGAAAGCTTCATCAGCGAGAATCCCGATGTTCGGAAGATTGCTGGCAATGCATTCAGGCTATTCTGCAACATACCAGTTCTACCTGGACAAACCACACATCATGGTGCGAAACACAGTTGTTGGCAGGAGCATGGATGTGACAAAACGTGTCCATTGTGTGGCTTCCACTGTGAAACAGCGGGATCTACAACGCATGATCAGCATCTAGTATCACAGCACGGTGCTGTGCTGTCCAGCGCTCGGGCTAGTCTCCGCGATGGAAATGGATCTACTCCTTCACAACTGCCAGATGATACAACCTGCCATACTGTCTGTGGTAGCCTTGAAGAAAGTCGCTCACACAGTCATGTTCCAGACTACGACCTGGTAGCAGCGCATTATAACAAAGGCAAAATCAAAGAAAGCTACAGGCGGGTGGGCAACAAGTGCAAAGTCACCCATGCCCTATTCTGGGATGTCCACAGCTTTGCCGACCCCAGTGTAGACCCAGCAAATGGTTTTGACAAGTGTCCCGCACCCTGCCCAAGAGATCGAGAGCACGGGGAAGATAAAGTGTATTGCACACAGCTTCTGTATCATCAGACAGTTCCACAATCTGGCATACCTGAGTTGCCTTGCTTTGCTGACAATGGTCATCACTTTCCATGCGACAATCATCTATGTAATGATCCTTGTGGACAGGCCGATCAATACGGTCCATGTGTGGAACACTGCATGCGGCCACTCAAGCACTCAAGAGGCCACGACTGCGAGAAGGAGCACAAATGTAACCAAGACTGCACGGGAACTGACTGCAGTCACAAATGTGAATTGAAAATGGGTCATGATGAGAAGGAGGTATGCCACTGTGGCATTGGAAAGTGCACTGCTAAATGCGATCACTGCGATGCTGACTGTGCAGCTGAAGATCATTTCCACCATCCTACTGGATCCACTGTTCATGACTGTGGTGCAACTCATATCTGCTCTGAATCCAAGCGTACTGGTCACAAAGATGTCAAGTGCAACACTGGCGGAGGAAACTGCACCCTACCCTGGTTCAGTGAGCTGAATTTGGTCCAGAAAATAGCTTTGCTGAAGGATGGAACATTGCCAGCACTGAGGCTGCCCTGCAAACGCATAATTCCAACTGGCCAAGCGGAACACTGTGGAGAGCATGCACATCATGATGATGCTTCCCAATTGCAACATACCTGCAACGCCTTTTGTCCAAGTCCAACGTGCGGAGAGTGCTGCGATAAGCCGGTTCATGCTGACGATGAATTGCACAGCACAACACATGGAAAATACCTGTCTCTTCAGCCAGCAGGGTTACAGCGACATGGCCTTTCTCCTTGGAGAGTTGTGGACATGAAGAATGATTCCATGGTGTCACCAAAATCTCAGCAAACACTTGACAGCCTACCATTTGTGACCACCTGCAGCACCGTGTGCTCCTCTCTGTTACGACAGCACCACCACTGCAAAGTCAGAGTGGATAAATCAGCAACAGAGAGCCTCGACGTTACCTTTACCGAGCGAGTCACCCACAGCCAGTTCTGGAAAGCAATCGGTTTTGTGGACCCATACTCTGAAGACGAGACTGCAGAATTCGACCATTGTCATGCCCGGTGCCAGCATGAGGAGCATGGCGGCGATGCTGTGTTTTGTGAAGGAAGACAACTTCACGCTGGTCCCCTGGTGACAGGAGCTAACCCTGGTCTATTAACACAGAGTACTGCTGGACACACGTTCACGTGCTCTCATCCGTGCTCAGGACATTGCGTGTATAAGGAGGTATCGCGGAACTGCGGCAAGGATTGTGATGACCGGCGTGAGCATCATGCTGGCCCGTGCCTCTGCGCGGAAACAGCCCATAGGTGCAAAGAACGCTGTGAGGTCAATCGGCAATCAATAACCACCACTGCCGGTAAACCCCTCTGCACTGGGGAGTGTGACGTGATACTAGACCGCAAGGATGGCGCTGCCCATAAGAATCATCGGTGTGATTCGCACGGTTGTGTTGCACTGTGCTCTGCTGCGGACTGTACGGAAACCTGCACTCTTGCTCATGATCATGTGCTTCACGAGGGACATGAAGAGCATGAATGTGGGGATAGCCATCTCTGTTCTACACCTTGTCCGTTCTGTGGCGCACAGTGCGAGCTCCCACCACACGACGCCACAACTTTACACAGAGCAGCACATGGCGAAATCCGAATGGACGACAGACAGAAGCTGCAGACCTTTGCCACCGTGCGACAAACATCGTCCATACCTCTAGATGTTGCACAATCGTGCGGAGACGTTTGTCGCAAATCAGCCTGGGGTCATCTTCACATCTTGGCATGCACATCGGAAGCAAGACAAGCAGATTGCAGTGGTGACGGGTATCATATTGAATCAGAGCAGCTGCATAAGAAAGAACTGCACTTCTGCACACATCGGTATTTTTGGGAGCGAGCGGCAGGATTTGAGCAGCCAGTGACAAACGATGGCTTTTCAAAGTGTGGAGAACGGTGCCACGCCGGTCACTCAGCTCATTGTACCTTGGATGTCCTTCATAAGACCCTGCCTGACCGTGAAGAGTCACACGTGAGGGATGGACACCGGTTCTCTCATTGTGCGTCAAAATGCGATCGGCTGTGCGAATCAAGGAGCCATGGAACAATCATGTCCAGACCACGGACCTGTGACTTGATACGAGAACACAGTGGACTGCATCTGTGCATGGATTGCGTTGGGCTACTTTGTCCTGAAAAATGCCCCCAATGTCATGAGAAGTGCATCAAGAAGGTCCTACATGGCGAGAGCTATGGCCATTATGTCCTACATGGCGAGATCAAAGCTCCCAACACGGAGTTCAGAGTGTGTGAGAAGAGCTCGATGAAGCTGATCGACCGCTCTGGAAAAACCTGCGGGGAGATCTGTGTGGTTAAGGATGATCACTATCACATTCTTCAGGAGTGCAGCGGTTACGGTGGAGCAGACTGCAAAGCTACTGGCAGCGACAATCCTATAAAACACAGCAATGAGCTTTCCGCAGACTATACGGATCATGACCACTACTGGAAACTGCAAAAATTCTCTATAGCTGGCCTATTTTCATAGTAAGTACTGAAGTAATAAATACAGTCGACTCCTGATATAACGAACACCATTGTATGGACTCGGATGGAGAGCCAAGGGTTAATTTATAAGAAAGAAAAAGGACCAAGGAACAAGCTACGCTATAATGTCCACTAACACCACCAGTTACTAGACAATCAGCTCATGCGATAACATTGCACGACACTGACCGACGGTACTGACGTTTTTATTTTTATTTTTTAAAGAGAACACAGACCTACAAATCATGTTGAAAGACAAAAAGTACATTGGACTGGGTAGGCGCTATCCACAATGCCAGTTAATAGCTGTGCTGATGAAATACACGGACTCTGTCGACCATGGGTCTCGGCGTCACAGTGCCATGTACCGTATTATCTATTATAAGCACGGTCCTTTTATTTTTTCAATGTTACTCCGCCCCGTGCTATTAATGGAGACGTTCCTTTATTGGAGACTGTTCCATTATTATTTCAACTTCATTTCAGAGGCATTGTTGCCATGCCAAATTCATGTCAGACACACACATTTCAGGGGTTTTTCGCCGGTACAGATAAGGAATTTACACAGTGTGCTTATAATGGAGACTGAGCATTTTATTTTTTGAATGCCGCCCGAAGGTGTTCTATTATTGGAGACGTGCTATTATTGGAGACTGTGCACCAAGTGCACCCGCACGCCCAGCTTGGGCACTCGTGCACTCATGCAGCCAGACACAAGCGCACACATGCACGCACACGCCACTGGTGTACCCATGCTCTGACACGCAGACACCCGCACAACGTACCGCTCACTATGGCGTGCACAAACATACAATAGACACATTGGGTTGGGGGTTGCCATGATTTCTTTTGGACAATTCAAATATTCAAGAATATGCTCTTTAATAATAATAATTGATTGAGTAAAGATGCATGCCTGAAACTAGCATCCGCCCGCCAAGGGCGCCCAAATGGCCACCGCGGCCCGCCGCGGGCTAAACTAGCATACTGCCCACCGAGGGCGCCCAAATGGCTAAACTAGCCTACTGCCCACCGAGGGCGCGCAAATGGCCGCCGAGGCCAGCAAACCGCCCGCCGAGGGCTAAACTAGCATACTGCCCACCGAGGGCGCACACATGGCCGCCGAGGCCAGCAAACCGCCCGCCGAGGGGTAAACTAGTATACTGCCCACCGAGGGCGCTCAAATGGCCGCCGCGGCCAGCAAACCGCCCGTCGAGGGCTAAACCAGCAGACAACCCATCGAGGGTGCGCAAATTGCCACCGAGGCAAGCAAACTGCCCACCGTGGGCCGATATCATCTTGCCCGCCGAGGGCACACAAACGGCCACCGAGGCCAGCCAATCGCCCACCGAGGGCTCACACGACTGCCTGGCATCAGGCGTCACAACATACAGACATAATAGGAGGCCCGTTTGCCCCAAAAAAGATAGTAGTCCTAGAAACCATGGCATCCCGTTCCCCGCAACCCACAACGAGCTAGCTTTGTGACCACAGCTGCAGGTGCCGTGAATTCCTCACATTAATACCGCGCCCGTGCAGGCATACACACACTAGTTATCATGGCGAGCGCCGCTCAATAACTTACAAGCTAGGCATCCCGGCTGCCTGCCGCACATAACGTTCGCATGCAGAGCTTCTCCAGCGGCTCGCCCGCTTTACTTGCCATTCACTTGCCCCACGCTGAGCCATGAGTGAAGCACCACCGATACGCATGGAGTGAGAGCTGACCTCGTTCGTCCTCAGGGCTAGCCGCAGAATCTTGGTCAGTTCCTCCCTGGTCAGAAACCGGCCAGACGCAAACACAAACACTGGCTCCGTCGCCTCTCTCTGACCCGCAAGGTCCAGATAGGCGGTCAGGGCACGCACAGGGCAGAAGTCGTCGCGTGTCTCGCGCAGCTGTACTTGGGCGCCGTCACCCAGCTGGGCTGTCTTCGTCACCCGCAAGCGGACGACTGCCGATGATGCCTGGACGCTGATCTGCTGCCAGGTTAGCGTGCGCGTGCTATCGACTCTTGTTGCATGCGGTGCCAGGAATTCACTCGCCCGCAGGAGGCCGTGGAACGCTGTCAAGACACTGGCCCAGATCATTGCGCGGTCCGACTCGCTGTAGTTGGACGGGAGTAGGAAATGCTGTAAGTCGGCCAGATCTTGCCCAGTGAGACCTCTCCGCGTCGTGGTTGCGGGACCCTGCCTCCTCTCAAGGCCCTTGAGAACTGCAGAAAGACGGACGGACTGCATACAAGTCACAGGAACACGCTTGCACAGCAAATGATACCGTACCGCTGACAAATACACACGCACAGTCGCCGCACACCTCGTACGAGACAGCTCGGTAGCAAATAATACGATATCCTCCTTAGAGGGTGCAAGGGGATTGACAATATGTTTAATGCAGTAATCATTGAAGGCATCAATGCCAGTGGAGAACGTTCTCGCTGAGCGTTCTGACACTGAACCTGCTACAAGGGCATCAGCCTCGAGGCCTAGAGCAGCACGGTCGGGCAGGGGCATGGCACTGGCGAAGCAGCCGCCGTTGGCGCCAGTTGACGGTAACGGGTCAGCTGCAAGCGAGAAAGAGCATCAGCAATGCCGTTATTAGTACCAGCAATATGGCGGATATACAATATGAAATTGTGCCTAGCGACAACAGCTAACATAAAGCGGATCAACGCCATGGCCTGCTTGTTCCTACATGAACCATTCTTCCAAGCTCTAACTACCGCCTCGTTATCACAATGAAACAGCAGCTTCTTCCCTGCCCAGCACGGACCCCAAATGCAGCAAGCTAGGGCAATGGGAACCATTTCTCTAACCGGCATAATAACGCTTAGCTGAGGAGATTCAAACTCCTCCGGCCACTTCCCAAAAAAACAGTCGCCCTGGAAGTAGCCCCCGTAGCCCTCGCCGGAGGCATCTGTGAACAACTGGAGGTCAGGAGAACGGGACCAGGCCTGGTCGTGGAAGAAGGACTTCCCATTCCAGTCGGCCGCAAAGCGATGCCACCAGGCGATGTCGAGGCGCGCTTCCTCATCGATCGGGATCCGGGCAGACATGGAGGAAGCCGTTGTGCTGAGGTCAATGAGGCGCCGAATGAACGTGCGGCCCGGGGGGACCACCTTGGCGGCGAAGGACAGCGTGCCTATGAGGGACAGGAGCTCACGCTTGGAGCAGTCGGTGCGCTGGAGCCAAGTTGCCAGAGCTGTGTGGAGGGCGGACAACTTGTCCTGGGGGAGCCGAGTCGCCTGCTCCACACTGTCAACTTCGATCCCCAGCACAGTCATCACAGTCGTTGGAGGGACGACCTTGTCCTGGCCGGTAGCCACTGGAACGCCCAAGTTCTCAAACACGGTTAGCAGCGTCGCTTGTTGAATGGCTGCGGTAGATGACAATGGAGAGGGGCTAGGCGGGGCGACGCCGATGTAGTCGTCCAGATAATGCTCGAGGTCGGCCAGGGAATAGTTGTGCCGGAGTATCCAACATAGCGCATCTGCCAGCAGGTTGAAGAGAGCCGGGGAAGACCGCAGCCCGAATGGCAGGACCTTGTCGAAGTAATACAAATCATTGTACGGGAGACTGCTAGAGATATTCACACTAGGACCAGGAGTAGGCACACGAGAGCTATGGATAGTCACACCACTAGGTATAGGGGGAGACAGCCCGTCGACGACAGTCGACGCAGCCACAGGGGTAGGGAGGCTAGCACTAGTAGGCACACGTGTGGAACTACTACTACACACACCCGTACCTGTAGGAAACGACTCCTCCACCTGCACCGGAGGATCGGCAATGTTGGCAGGGGCAGCCGGGCGGGACGGACGGCGTGTCGACTCCGCCTGACCCGAGGCTACAGGGGCGACGGCTCTAACAGCCGCCTGGACAGATGTGGCGATCAAGGCCTGGAGGGTTGCCATTTGGCCAGGAGAAAACCCAGGCGCCGGAGCCGGCGTTGCCGGGGGAGCAGGGGGTGCTGCAGCAGCAGGAGAAGCTCGAGCGGGGGTGCTGCAGCGGCAGGAGGAGCTCGCGCAGCCATGCTGCGGGTCGCGACACGTCGGGTGCTCATATTAATCTCCGCAAGTAACGGAGAAAAGGGGAAACCTCGGAAGGAAGAAAAAACTTTGACTTGCAAAAAACTTTGACTTGACACAGAAACTGCAACTGCAAAGAATGCTCCTTCGCACAAAGACAGCTCAGCAAAACACGTCTCCAAATAATTAGACGCCGGATCCACGATTGTCCATAAAATTTTGCCAGGCCATACACGGCGCACACGGCTTAACGAGGTGGTCACATGACACGCACTCGCAGCACTCCACCACCAGCATGCGTGTGCATGGGCTAACTAGGCTTTGCTGCGCAAAGCCCACATTTTATAATGAGCCAACATAAGAAAGTGACTAAAGACAAAAAATGAAATAAAAATATAAGACAAAACAAACAAGAAGGGAATAATAATACGAAGTAGTGGTTGCGACTTCGGCGATGATTTGTAAGAAAGGGTTTGCTCCCCACCGGAGCTCGCGCTATTCCGCCGACTTTGCTTGACACTTGACTGACTCACGACTGCCATCCAGAGCACACGAGAAGTCCATCGAACCTTCGACTCAGCAAACCTGCAAGAAAGCACCACTCCCTGCTCAATACACAGTGTTTCGGGGAATTCACCCCTCATCAGTTGAGCTTGAGTAGGCTGAGGAAGATTGTGCCTGAAGAGCACCACTTATATAGTGCTCTCCAGGCACAAACATCACCAGGGATACAAACTTACAGAGACGCTCCGTTTCCAGCGCGACAAACACCTCGTGAGCACCAGATAGCAGCGTGAGTCAGTGTCGCTCCTGATCAAGCTCAACTGATCAGGGGTGAATTCCCCGAAACACTGTGTATTGAGCAGGGAGTGGTGCTTTCTTGCAGGTTTGCCGAGTCGAAGGTTCAATGGACTTCTCGTGTGCTCTGGATGGCAGTCGTGAGTCAGTCAAGTGTCAAGTGAAGTCGGCGGAATAGCGCGAGCTTCGGTGGGGAATAATAATAGTGGAAAAAAGGGGGAGATTGAGAGATGTGTGGGTAGCTCTCGAGTGATACGGCAGGGTGAATCATCTAGACTAGAGTGGCTGGCAACTTCGTCGCAGGTGTGTGCAGCAGTGGCTTTCAGAGGTGGTCTGTAGCCCACAGACAGTCAGTGTGTAGCAAGTGCTTCCATGCAGCTGCCTTGAAGCGGTGCAGCCGTTGCAGGGACATTGGTGGCTGGAACAGGGAGGATGGCAGTTGATTCCACAAATTGATGTGGGCAAACGGGAAGGACCGCCTGATGTACTCCGGTGAAGCTGGTGGTAGGGTATTGAGGAGCTGGTGAGGATGGGTCACCGCATGCGTGTGTCGGGTTCGTGGACGAACCACAGTGGGTGCAGCTGGTGGGACAATGTTGGTCAGCTGTTGTGGGCTTCCGATGCACTGAAGCTTGTACATGTAGCACAGCCCAGAGAGAGTGCGTCGTGCAGCATGACTCTGGAGGAGCACCTCTGGCCCTATGATGGCCATTGCCTTCCGCTGAATGCGGTCGAGCCTGACCAGATGGGTCGGGGCAGCAGACATCCAGACCAGTGGAGCATACTCCAGCATAGGGCGCAGGCGCGTACGCAGGGTCACCTCTAGGGGGGTTTCCAACCGAATCCCAAACAATGAGTTTTAAGTTTTAACCCTTTCTAAAGAGCCCTAGGAAATTTTCAAAATTATGCATTTTTCGTGTTGTCTGGATCATAACTTCAGTTCTACTCACTCAATCTTCATTATCTTGGGCTTCCTGGAAGTGGAAAGGTACCAGGGAGAGAATGAGGTCGACCATGATAGCCAGGACACAGTACAGTCATGTAGATCTACATGTACATATCCACCGCTATAGCCATATAGGCTATAGCGGTAGAGTGCAGCGACGGTGCGAAAATTGCCCCAAACAGGCCCAAACGCGTCCTGCTCCAGCGATTTCGTTTTTCTTGATCGCAGAGTTTCGATTTTTGCTGTGTACTCTTGAAAATATCACAAGTGAAGCCCCTGCAAATTTGAGGAAATCAGGAAATCAGCGCGACGAAAATCTCAAATTCCCGATACTCAAGTCGCACTGCGCGCTTTTGAAATTGCCGAGATCGCGGCTCAACTTACGAATGATTTATCTCACGATACATTGCTCGCAGCGCTTCGTAAATTGGTTCAACCGACAGCTGAGAGTTTTCTACTCGACCTGGATATTTGGATCGTTGGATTCGAGCGAGATTTGACTGAGTTACGATCTTTTGAGGTTTTGCATTCTTGCCAGATTGATCATGCATCCTACCAAAAACTGCCCAAAAACGTTGCTCGTTTGGAACATTTGGGGGTTTCCGGGCAACGGGAACCCCCCGCCCCCCCCCCCCCCCCTGCGTACGCGCCTGGGGCGAATGAATCCTCGGTAGACACTCAGACGGCCATTGGTGTCAAGTATCCGCGCGGCTCAGCGCAAAAGCCCAAGACGTTGACTTGCTCTCACCGCCATGCTGCTGATGTGCTGGCGCAACGAGAGCTTTGAGTCGAACAATATACCCAAAAGCTTCAGTATTGATGCCTGGGCAATGTCGACACCACCAAATGAGATGCCTGGAGTGGCTGGGTCCAAGGATTGTGTGCGCAGTAGCTGCTGTGACTTGGATGGCTCAAATGTCACCCGCCACCGCTCACCCAACTCTTGAAGGCCATGTAGGGCATCTTGTAAGGAGGCATTGTGGGGAGCAGCAGTTCCTGGTTGCAACAGGCTGTATAGCGTGGTGTCATCAGCAAAGGAGCTAAGGCGCGTTCCGGGGGTAAGACATTGGTCGATGTCGCTGACGTAGATAAGAAATAGTCGGCCCGAGGATACTTCCCTGAGGTACTCCCGCGGTGATAGGCTGAGCAGATGAAGCTTGACCGCTGACCACAACTTTCAGTTGGCGGCTATGTAGGTAGTCCTGAAGCCAAGTCAGTAGTGTACCCCTGATGCCAGCCCGTTCTGCCTTGTACAGGAGACCGGTGTGCGACACACGATCGAATGCGCCAGCTATATCCACGGCTATCACTTGAGCAGATCCACCGTTTGCAACAGCCTGGACCCATTCGTTCTGCAGGGCTGTCAGGACATCAGCAGTTCCCCTGCCTCTACGGAATCCATACTGGCTGTCAGGAAGCAGTCGGTTCCGCTCAAGATGGTTGACCACCTGCGAGTTGACGATGCCTTCCATTACCTTGGAGAGGATCGAGAGAAGAGACACTGTTCTACAACTATCTGGCTAAGAAGCTCTAGCACATCTTGGATGCACACTCCAACAGCCTTCCAACTTGGCCCGGTTCTAAGGACATTATAGCGTAGCTTGTAGTTCCTTGGTCCTTTTTCTTTTTTTATGAACACCATTGTGCAGGAGGATTAGTTCTTTATAGCCAAAGTTTGTTATAACCATGATGCACTTACACTTTACTTGTACAAGCAACACATCATGACTCGGGCATATGGCACATGACTGTATGAGTGCACTTGGTTTTCATGCGGCCCTTCAAGATACAGTGAAACCTGTCGAAGGCGACCACTGAAGGGACGAGAACTAGTGGTCGCCTTGGCCAGGTGGTCTTCTTATCCAGGTTCAGTGGGTCACGTGACCATATCCACTTCATAATACGTGTGATATATCATTTTGATCCGTGTATCACACTGCACACACCTATGCTACTCTACAATAGCACAACTCATGTGCCCGGGGTCCTCGAACCTGTCAAGTGTCGTGCTTGTACCATGTATATCTAGTACATATTCTACACAGTTCCTGCGCTGGTGTGTACATCTAACATGCATGGTGCAGCATGCAATGCGTACAGTTATTTACATGTACTACCACTAGCAGTGTACAACGTGGTCGCGGGTGGGTGGTCGTCGGTCGCGTTGAGCGAGTGGTCACCATATCCGGGCTGTTTTATTATAATTATTAAATAATTTTATTTTAAAAGTGCATGTTCTTATAAACGAGATTCTCTTATATTCGAGAATAAGAACATGTCCTTAAATGCGCGAGATTACGGTAATAGAAGTGAGATTGATTGAGTGAATGCTGTGCTTTGAGACTGCACTCCAGCAAGAGTGACAATCTTAGGTACATGGCCGAATCCTTCTCACTGTTATTGCAACGTGTTCTGTTCGTGCAGTTATGTCGTTGGCGATTTCTCTGCCGGTTGTAGAGGCACACACTGTTGGATATCCTGCATCGGCTACTTATTGTGTGGCATAGTTGGGGGAGCGTAACCGTTCCTTTCGTCTTGTGCCAATTGTTCGTGTTTTGATTGGTGTGAACTTTCTCCTCCCTTTCCTGATCATGGGTGACAGTTTTTAAAGTGTCTTGACTGGTCGGCCTGTTCAAGGCCTCTCCTAGCCGCCTCCCATTGCTTTTGTGACAGTCTTAGACTCTACAAATGTACTTCGTAATGTGCTGCTCAAAAGGTCACTCAGCCGTTGTGGCGTCCCGCCAATGCTGCGTTCAAATTCACTGGTCCACTATTAGTACATCACGCTCTATCACGGGTAAAATATCCTTGTTGGTGGTGGAAAACATTTTTCGGGTATCAAAGCAATGGATAAGGTAGCAGAGCGGAACAAAGCGCTGGGAAATATTTAGAATTTCCTGGACGTATTTACGGACTTATTTACGGACTTATTCCCTTGCGCCTTGATCCTTGAAGTGTGGTGGCGTTCCTACGGATGCGGAAAGCCCGGCTTCCAGCCGAGGCTCACGCGAACCGTGAATTTTTTTACGGACTTATTTATTTACTAAAGTATGTGACTCCACACAGGGTAAAGAAGTCTCCAGCAACGTAACTGTACTACGCGTGCCCCCCCCCCCTCCCCTCCCCTCACCATCACCACCATACTTAAAGCACATGTGGCAGCAATGTCTGGTGCATGCTGTATGCATCTGCTCCCAAATCAGAGATTGTTTTCTTTCTGCTTCTTCTTCTTGTTGCCTGCATGCATACAGTGGCATATGAAGCTGTCTTTGGTTGCCAGGTCACATCTCACCTGTCCGGATATGATGCATACTCTACCAGCAAAGCTTGAGGCCAAGTGAGTCAGTCGTATGCCGGTGTCTTGTGGTTGCTATTATTGCGCTCAGCCTGGTGCAGACTGCACAGGGACTGCAACGAAAAGCTTGTGCACCGTGCACATTGGACAAAGAATGCGACACCTGGATGCTTTTTATCCTAAACTTTTCCCTTTGCTTAAATCGTATTTTCCTATTTCGTTTTGTTTGGACATTCATGTGCCAAAGACTTTGCCTAGCACCATTCACCAGCTAACGATGCTCAGAGATGATGCACCTGTCACCCCAGGATGTGTGTTGAGCACTGTGGGGTCGTGCATCTTGTGCATAGCACTTCAAGACAATGGGCACAACCCCCCCCCCCCTTTCCCCCCATCCTCCCTCTCCCCTGCACATTTCCTTTAACAGTTCACAATGCATGTCGTATTATGGCGTTACTGCCATGGCTTGTCCGGTGCTGCATGCCCGCTTGCCCTCTCGTACTTAGCAATGACGAGTTGCTGTTGCCAGATCGGTATTTCTTCTTCCTGAGAGCAAGAGACACAATGCCGCACTATGGGTTGATGTATTTTTGTTTTCGTTTTCCTTATTTTTGTCCTTGTGGTGTATGAATTCCTTGCTAACTATTGGCTTGGTCTCCTGTGAAAGCTACAGATACCAGCTGCAGTTCTATTACAGTGTAGTGCATTCCATTGCCTGCCCTTACTAACCACTGCCACACTAGTAGCCTTTTTGTCCAATATCCGGTGTTTCTCGTTCTGTTGTTCATTCCCCTCCCGACCCCTCTCCCCCCCCCTCTCCCCGACTCTCTCCCCTCCCCCTCCCCCCCCCACCCCTCTCCTCTGCCCCCCCCCCCCCCTCCCCCACCCACCCTCCCTACTTATCGCTATGGCTAGCATTGTTGCTGCCGAGTGCTGGCTGTGCATGTGTGTCGTTATTCCCATTCGTAAAGCCTCGTCAGATGTATCCATGTGCATCCTTCAGAATGCGTCAACTGAAGTGATTTTTCTATTTCTTTCCCGCTTTCCTCCGACTCCCCCCGGGCCCCCCTCCCTTTTTCTTTTTTTGTTTCCTGGGCAAATTCATTTTTTTGGTAATTACCGAAGATATCGTTTCTTGCGCTGGGTGCAGTTTTGAATCATTCCTTTACAATAATGTTTTGTTTAGCTACCGATACACTCTCGTACTTTCATCAAATGTAGCGTAGAAAATACACAGCTAGTTTACATGCAATGGAGTTTCCACTGTACTTCTTAGAAGTTTTTTTCAATTTTTAGTTTAGTATGAACTCCCAGCACTAGACATGTACGTTACTCAAGTATTACACCCCTGGCCAGCGAGTAATTTTTTATCTCATTGCAAGCAACTAGCGATTTGTGCACGAAATATGCTGTATTCTTTCTCTGTACCAGCATGTCATGATACCTGGAGCTGCTGGCTGGAGCGATTCATTACGATTCTCAGCTCAGTGCACCTATATCTGCTGGGAATGATGTCTCTGTTTCTGTACGTGTATTCCTTTCACAGATTGCCCATGTTGTTGTTAAATCATACACGTACATGTACTATTCTCTGCTATGCACCGGAAGCATCTTGTTCTCTTTGCCCGCGTTCATTCTGTGCAGTGTTCCGATGCCTTTCCAAGTTCTCTGCTGTCGCAACTCTAGTTTCGCCTTGCCTGCTGCATGACGCATGTGCCTGCTGCCTATACAGATCACACACAATGGTGTAATACTAAATAAATGTTGTATGATGGAATGGATATTAATTTCTACTTGTGAACACGTCTCTGCGGACTCTGGGCTTTGGCCTGGCCTCATGACAGGTGATTGTGCCAGGTCACCAGGTCACCCCCGCCATACTATGTGGGACCGTGTAGCTAGCTGTATATGAGTCATGACTGTGCAATCAGCTCCAAGGCTGACAAGGACAGCTACATGTCAGTAGGTGGCTGCATCCCAGCTGGGTGACGTTTTTGGGCATGGGTTACCATGGTGACTTCATTGGGCCTGGGTGACTCACATGCATGGTACCTGGTTGACTGCACCTGGGTGACCTCAGACCTGGCCCTGGCCCCTGGGTGACTGCATTACGTCATGACGATTGTACAGTCATAACGTCATGTACACCGGAGGATGTACCCAGTGTCAGTGTGCTGACAGTGCTCAACACCGCAGCGGAAGCAGAGCATGATACAGAACAACAAGGACAATCAAGGCTTGTTTGCTGCTACATGTACGATTGTACAATTACATGTACATGACATAATTCATTGTGTATAATCATACACGGTCTGTCAGGCTTGATGGCTGAATCATGCCTGAGCTCCCAGCCCGAAGGTCGTAGCCCCGAGGGCTGGGAGCGAGGGCATGATTCAGCCATCAAGCCCGACAGACCATGTATGATTGGATTTCTTACTTGACCCATGCCGGCATGCGCACGCACGGAACGTAGCCCAAATATTGAAACAAGCCAAAGACTAGCACAGTCAGTTCGGCGAAAAGTCACTCTGCACTAGTCACAGCCAGAACACACGAAGTAACAAGAGTCAAGAAGACAAGCGACATTCCTTTCTACATGCACTTCCACTTCTTTCTTCAAAAGGTTTTGGATTGATTTACTTTTTATTTCATTTTCATTTAAATTAACTTGCCATATTTTGCGTGTGCATTTTTCCCTCTTCTTGTTCTTTTATTCCATGGCTGGTAGCCCTCATTCATAATATTGGTTGACACCATGTCATCCATGAATTGAGAATAATAATAATAATAATAATAATAAAAACCCGCGCCTTGTCACATTATTGGCTACATCTCGTTGCCACTTGACCACGGGCATGATTGTCAATCATACCTGAAGTGACGTCAGTGTTGCCAAGGGCAGCGGGCATGATGGCGGAATCATGTCCGCGGCGGGAAAGGTGGTGATTAGACAATTCCTAGGATACGGTCACGTGTCATGTAAGAATGTACAATCATGTACAGTGAAACCTGTCTAAGGCGACCCCTCAAGGGACGAGAAAAAATGGTCGCCGTGGTCAGGTGGTCTTCTTATCCAGGTTCAGTGGGTCACGTGACCATATCCACATGTGATACGTCATTTTGATCAGTGCATCACAGTGCACACACCTACAACCTTGTATGCTACTCTAGCACGACTCATGTGCCTGGGGTCCTCAGACCTGTCAAATGTTGTGCATGCACCATGTACATCTACACTTCCTGCACTGATGTGTAGATCTACCATGCCTGGTGCACCATGTAATGCATACATTTAATAATAATAATAATAATAATAACTTTATTAGGATGACCCAAAGGCTGACCGCCTATCGTGGGGTCCGTCGCATTGAAGGATGATGGTACAAGAGAGTACAGATTGGGAAGGGGGGGGGGGCTAAGATGAACAGGGTAACGGCATGCCAGCGAGTTACCCTGTTCATTTTCATGTACATGTACATGACTAGCACTGTGCAACGCGGTCGCGAGTGGGTGGTCGCCAGTCGCGTTGAGCGAGTGGTCGCCTTATATCCAAGGTGTTTTGAATGTGAATGCGTCCGTGACAAGGAAAAGTGGTCGCCATGGTCGAGTGGTCGCCATATCCGAGTGGTCGCCATTACAGGTTTTACTGTACTTCAAGTTTCATGCTCTCTTAGCTCTCTATCATCAGCCTGATCAGGCAACAGCCTACACAGGGCACATGTACATATATGTTCCGTGGGTAACTGCATGATTGTACATATTGTTAGATTGACAGCATGAAACAAGGTGGAGGACACTGTGTTCGGAAACAGTGTCCTCCACCTTGTTTCATGCTGTCAATCTAACAATGTGCGTGAAATAACAAGGTTTATCTACAGTTAGCCCTTTCCCTAAGGTGCTCTTTTAATTCGCACTTAGTGCTTTTCGCGTCCCTCAAAATATGCTGAAAAAGTGCTCTTTTTTCAGTGAAAACAGGCAAAAAGTGCTCTTTTTTCAGTGAAGCATAGCCATGATACATGTTCAGATATGATCCCAAGCTGAGAAACGAATACGCACTCTTCCATTTATTTATTTTTTTACGGGGTAACGGCCTCTTTTACGGGCAAAATAAAGTCATGTAGACGTGAAAAAATTGAGATACCATGAAAGTTAAAATAGAATTTTATTCAAGTACAATACATTGGGAAACTCCAATTCTTCCATTTATGGGTTCACGAAAGGCAAAACAGGTAGTAAAGTTCAAAAAACCCACTTTTTACAGCATTGTGTACAAGCATCACCAACTTGTTGCCCCCAAAAAAGTGGCGTGCCAACAAGGCCCATCGTCGGCATCGAGCACTCGGAAACTGTGATCGTATGTATGAGCAAACAGATTTTAGCACTTTTTCAGCTAAAAAAGCTCAAAAAGGGCGATATTCACCAAAAAACGCAATAAAGGGCGAAAGAAACGGGCTTTTCCAAAAAGGGCAAAAAGGGCAAAAAACTACAGTCCATTTCAAAACTATACTAGATGCGCAGTGTTTTTGAAAATATTTCTGGCTGGAGCTTTTTGAGAAAAGTTTTCGGAATATTGCTCAGGTCCGCTCCACAATTACTCTCATAATAGTTTCTAAACGATTGGATAACAGACGCCCGCCCAATTTGGAAAAATGTATGCACAAATTGATCACAGATTTTATGTGGTATACATGTACTTAGAGACGGTTTTTGCCTAGGTAGATCTACGCGTCTATAGTTTTGAAATAGACTGTAATACTAGTTTAGGACTAGTTTAGAACTAGTATTGGGTTATAATTAAAATACCATGGTTGTACATGACAGTGATGTACCTGTACTGGGGGGCTGGGTTTGAGTAAGCTGGGTTAAATAAAAATTTATGCCATCACTGCACCGGGAATTCTCGCTCCACATATACTGGCACACGCAGAGACATAATAATGTAGACAGCAATAGCGACAACACACAAAGTGAAGGGTAGTTGCCAACTACCCTTCACTTTGTGTGTTGTCGCTATTTCTGCTATCCACTTCAACTAGTCCACTTCCACTAGTAGTT